TGCCTATTCAAACATTTATAAAATCTTTCCGTTTGCTCAGCCTTTCAACTGATACTGTTTACAGTGACTCTGACTATAACTGTTAATTTAGTAATAAAGTAATTATTAAGTAATTAAGTAAGTAATTAAATAAAGTAATTTCACTGTACAAATTTTGTGCAAATTAAAGGCAAATCACTCAAAAAAATCAATGCGCATTCTCACACTTACTCATAAAATCACTTACTTGTAAAAAGCTTTCCTTAAAAGGTTTGCTCATTCTTGCAATTTATTCCTGTTCAGAGTGAACCGAACTATTACTGTATCAATTTTCAACTGATTTCACTGTATAGTTTTGAAGAAAAGTAAACACTCATATAAATGTTTAATTTACAGGTTTGCTCATTTTTTCAATTCCTGTTCAGAGGGAAGCTGACTATTACTGAATTAATTTTCAAGTATTTTTACTGTAGGCCTATAGTTTTGGAGAAAATTTAAGGCAACTTCACCCCAATCGTAAAAGAGCATTCTAGCACTTAATTTACAGGTTTGCTCATTTTTTCAATTCCTGTTCAGAGGGAAGCTGACTATTACTGAATTAATTTTCAAGTATTTTTACTGTAGGCCTATAGTTTTGGAGAAGATTAAAGGCAACTTCACCCCAATCGTAAAAGAGCATTCTAGCACTTTCACATCATGTCCATTTTCAAACAATCTTCCCTTTATAGGTTTGCTCATTCTTTCAATTGATTCCTGTTCACAGTGACCCTGACTATTACTGGATTAATTTTTTTAAATAAAGTTGTTATTTTTGTTTTCTTTGCACACAAAAAGTATTCTCACAGCTTCATAAAATTACGATTGAACCACTGATGCCACATGGACTATTTTAACGATATCCTTACATTTCTGTGCCTTGACCCTGGTAGTACTCTTGCTGAGGGTCAGAAAGCTCTCAGATTTCATCAAAAATATCTTAAGATGAATGAAGGTCTTACAGGTTTGGAACGACATGAGGGTGAGTAATTAATGACAGAATTTTCATTTTTGGGTGAACTATCCTTTTAAAAAGTGTAGCCATATATTTTAAAAAATTAATTCACATCTTAATGATACTTTGAGTATAGTTTGACATATACAGTAGTTAGATATAGTTTGACTTTGAATATCAATCACATATAGCTGTGCCGCACATGCAGCGGGGAGGCTCTAGAAGAGTTTCAGTAACACACTGATTGACTAAGTGACTGAATTTTGTTGATGAAAATTATTTAGTTTTGTTTAAAAAAACATTTTGATATTGTTTGTATCAAAATTAATCTTTCTCCTTTGACATGTTCAAAGTTAAATAAAAATACTGCAATGTAATACTTCTCATCTTCTCTTTAAAGGAATAACTACCATTTCTGTCCTTTGGTGTGACAAAAGAACCACAGATTTGTTTTTATCTCGAAATATCTTTAAAAAACAGTTGAGTAGCCTATTGCAGTAGGGGAGATATAATCATCATTCATCTTAAAATGGTATGATTTTCTGCAGTTTTAAATGTATGACAGCAAAGTTTGTCTTGAAAATGTCCAAAAAGTCATGGGGGAAAAATGATTTAATTCATAATTTCATATTAAATAAGTAACACTATATGAAAATTTGTGTCTAACAATGAAGATACATCTCTCATGATATTTGTATATTATTAAAAGTTTTTGTTTGTTTGCTTTGTCATACCATAGGACAAATTTACAGTTCAGTAAAAAATGTAAAAAAAAAAAAGAAGAAAAAAAAAACCGTGAAAGAATTGACGAAGTTAGTGACCCTTTATATTTTCTCAAACATCAGACTTCACACTACATAAATATATGTAGGCTATTTCTTCTTCAAAAATGGTATTGACAAAAAAAGCATTTTTACTGCCTATTTGTCAACTACCCATATATATATATATATGTGTGTGTGTACAATAGAAATGTTAATGTACAAAAAATGTATTCACAAACATTAAAATCAATGTTCAAGTCATAAAAACATCCTGAAATGGTATTATTTATGTCCTGATGTAAAGCAGCTGTAAATAAATATTCTGATGTCGCTTTATGGTCTTTTTAGGGTTAAAGTACATTAATATTTTGGGTCACCGTGAACAGCAATCTATTGAAAATATCAGCAAAAGTATAAAGGAAACGCCGTTTATGACCGAGTCTTTCCATCTATTTTGACCGCTCCCAGCACCCATATCGTAAGTGCGCGATTAGACGCGCAGTTAAAGAAAAGTGCCGGAAATGTAAAGAAGAGAAAGAAGAAGAAGACGACACAGGAAAGTGCGGCTGGCTTGACTGTGTATTTTCACGTGTTCCTCATGTGACCAAATACGGAACTTGGAACGTCTAAGTCTGTCTCCCATTTATATATATATATATATATATATATATATATATTAAAAAAAACAACCAATCGCTACTTACTAAATCTATCGAGATATGCATATTGACTTCATGTACAGCTCTAATGGTCTAAAGTGTCCAGTTTTGGTCTGATCATAAGCGAGCTCAGCCCGCCCACCTCTGTTGCGGAAATACAGCGAGTGCGTAACAAAACTAAAAAGCAGGAAACGTGTTTTCGGATCGTTCCGGAGTGTGTTCCGAAGAAAACGACAAACCTCGTAAGTGTTATGCTTTCAAGCTAGTTTTGTTGTTGTTGTTTTGAACGAGCGTCGTCTTATCGTTTTAAGCCTACAACTCTGAGAACTGTTACTTCTCGTGTTGAACGTGGTATTTGTAGTGTGCATGTATTTCAAAAGCGCCTCAGAAAAGCAAAGTTCCATCACGAATTGGGCAAGACTATGAATATCGGTACAATATAATAACCTTATATTTACTAAGAAGCTATGGTTTTTGTTGTTATGTTTTTAAAGCACCCATCAAGGCCATGGCAAGCGCACCCCCATTGGAGTCATCCACACTTGTGGGACACCCGCCTCCTCCATCATACGAGGAGGCGCTGGGATCAAACCCACAGTACCAACCAATGCCCTATGCTCCAGCTCCAGATATGAAGACATCTGTGCCTCTGTATCCAGCACAAGCCTACAGCCCCATGTATCCACCACCACCAGCCCAACAAGGTCAACCTGTCACCAGTCCTCTTGGTAATGGCCCTAATTCCACCATGGCTTTTTCTGATCACACATTTTAAACTCAAGTGTTTACAAAAAAAGGTTGTATACATCACTCAAAAGGTAAGAATAGTGTAGAGATTTTTCTCAAGACTAACCTGGTTGACTTCTGCCCCATCGACTGGTAGTGCTGTTGATTGACCACGTAAACCAACTTGGACAAGCTAAAAACAGAAGCTGGTTGAATCTGGTTTTCCAGTTGAACCCTAGCATAATTAAGTTAGTTTTTTCAGACTCGGCATTGGCAAATAGTAGTTTCAGATTTGCATTTATCCTGTTGGCCCCACTGTTTTTAAATATGTATTTGTTTTATTTATAATTTATTTAAACTAGAAAATAAGTAAATTAAAATTTTTATAAGAAATTATATTTCGTTAAATTAATTAAAACATTTTTTTTTATTTCATTTGTATTTATAATTTATTTAAATGTAAGCAGTTATTTAATAAAACGATTCTTTGAATTTGCCTTTAATATTCTCCAAAACTATACAGTAAAATTACTTTTTACTGAAAATGAATTCAGTAATAGTCAGGGTCACTGTGAACAGGAATCAATAGCAAGAATGAGCAAACCTATAAAGGGAAGATTTGTATAAGTGTTTGAAAATGGGACATGATGTGAAAGTGCTAGAATGCTCTTTTACGATTGGGGTGAAATTGCCTTTGATTTTCTTCAAAACTATGGGCCTACAGTAAAAATACTTGAAAATTAATTCAGTAATAGTCAGCTTCACTCTGAACAGGAATTGAAAAAAATGAGCAAACCTGTAAATGAAACATTTATATGAGTGTTTGAAATAGAAAACTATTAGAATGCACTCTGATTTTTGGAGTGATTTTGTGTTTACTTTTCTTCAAAACTATACAGTAAAATCAGTTGAAAATTGATACAGTAATAGTTCGGTTCACTCTGAACAGGAATAAATTGCAAGAATGATCAAACCTCAAAAAAAGCTTTTTACATGTAAGTGATTTTATGAGTAAGTGTGAGAATGCACATTGATTTTTTGTGATTTATTTAAATGTAAACAACTATTTAATTTTATTTTCTTTTATAAAAGGAAACATACACTCTTATGGTTTTCTTCTTTTGCACAAAGACATTCCTCTGATTGTTCTGTTCACGTCTCTCATGTTCTAGTTGTATCTACGGCTGCTGCCTGATTCCCTTCTGTGTGGACAGCCTGAAGGATGTAATACACCACTGTCCGAACTGCAGCAGCGTTTTAGGAGTCCACAAGAGAATATGAAGCAGTTGCAGAACATATGAATTAGTTGTGTAACATACCACTCTTTGTTTATAATGGGAAAAAAGTTACAGTCAATTCATTCTTTAGCAAGAGTTAATTCAATACCTGTGCCACCGACACACTGACATGTATTCCAACATATGCGCACACACACACACACACACACATATATATATACCTTAACATACTTGTCTTTTCATTGTAAACTGTGATTTGACCAAAAACTAAGTTTAATCTTTTTTTAAATAATTATATTTAATATCACAATTGTGAAGAAATCTTTGTAACAGTAGATTTATGCATAAACAGTGCAATTATTCTCAATTCTTCTTTCTGTAATCATACTGAAGTAGAAAAAAGTTATATAAATAAATATGTATATGCTTTCGCACTTAAAAGCACTGGTGAGTATATGTAATCCATTTTCTGTTTGTTTCCTCTGTTTACTTGGCAAATATTATAAGTGCTGCACCAGAATGAAAACAAATGCATTAGTCTCATGAAGCAAACGAAGATTTAATAATTGTATTCATAATTTAAATGATTCTTTAAATAAATGTTTCATATTTAAGTTTATATATAATTTGTTTACATTCAAACAATTAATTTTTATTTAAAATAAAAATATTTTGTCAGATAGATCTTACATTACATATTTTAAGAGTTACATTCAGTAACAATTATTTTCTCAGCCTTACAGCTATTTACCATGTTAATTATTTTTGTTTTTAATTAATGAATTTCTTTGGTAAACATTTTATAAACAAAGCATTTCCATCGACTAAAATCTACACACATTGATTCCAGCACATCCTTTTTGTTAAGACCCTGATATTTGAACAGTTCATGTATAAGAAACCTATGCAGCACAGTATTTCTAAGCGTTCTTGTTTTTGTACCTAAGTATCTGTGCAGACCGTGTACGTTCAGCCTGGTCTGGTGTTCGGGAGTGTCCCAGTGCAGGCACATTGCCCAGTATGCTCACAGAACGTGATAACTCGCCTGGAGCATACATCAGGAGCATTAGCGTGGCTCTCTTGTGCAGGCCTGGCCATTTTTGGGTAAGATGAAACATTACATAACATACACTCTTATGGTTTTCTTCTTTTGCACAAAGACATTCCTCTGATTGTTCTGTTCACGTCTCTCATGTTCTAGTTGTATCTACGGCTGCTGCCTGATTCCCTTCTGTGTGGACAGCCTGAAGGATGTGACACACCACTGTCCGAACTGCAGCAGCGTTTTAGGAGTCCACAAGAGAATGTGAAGCCGCTGCAGAACATGTGAATGAGTTGTGTAGCATACCGACTATGTATTTATAATGGGAAAAAGTTGCATTGAATTCATTCTTTAGCCAGAGTTAATTCACTATCTGTGCCACACTGACATGTATTCGTACACACACACACACACACACACATATATATATATACCTTAACATACTTGTCTTTTCATTGTAAACTGTGATTTGACCAAAAACTAAGTTTAATCTTTTTTTAAATAATTATATTTAATATCACAATTGTGAAGAAATCTTTGTAACAGTAGATTTATGCATAAACAGTGCAATTATTCTCAATTCTTCTTTCTGTAATCATACTGAAGTAGAAAAAAGTTATATAAATAAATATGTATATGCTTTCGCACTTAAAAGCACTGGTGAGTATATGTAATCCATTTTCTGTTTGTTTCCTCTGTTTACTTGGCAAATATTATAAGTGCTGCACCAGAATGAAAACAAATGCATTAGTCTCATGAAGCAAACGAAGATTTAGGGCAAAATCTGCTGGAGATCTTCTACTACTTAGGTCCAGTTTTTCCTGTGAATCAAAGCATTTTCGGAAAGATCTGCCATCTTCACAGCACGCAGCATCGGCTCTGCACTGTGTGACTGGATGACACCCATAACCATGACATTTACCTGTGGGGGGAAAATAAAATAAAAATCAGAGAACTCCAAGCGAATGCAAATTCAAAAGTTAAAAATAGAACAATACCTCAATACTTAAAAGACTTGCTTAATGGACTGTTCGCTCACGTGGCCTAATTAATATTCATTAGTTGTGTTTTTGTCATATCGAACATAGATACGCAAGCAGAAAATCTAACCGTGTATTTTATTCACTTTTTGTATATTTTTCCCTTTGTCAACAAGGACACAGTGAAAGTATGTGCTTGAACATCAGAAAAAATGTTGTCCTCAGGAAGCCTAACTAACTATTATAGGTGCCATATATTATATACCAGGACTCAGGCAGGGTTTTCCTTTGGGCACGCTGTTAATGCCGCTGACGACAAAGTTGCCGGTGTTGTGCCGAATTCTGCACCCCTGCCAGATTATGCACCCCCTCGTTGAAATCGCTACCTGATTGCCTAATCCCAACCCCACCCCTAATCCTAACCCCTCCCCCACACCCTCTCCTAAACCTACCAATACTAGGGGGTGCATAATCTGGCAGGGTGCAAATTTCGGCACTACACCGGTCTCGTCCAGAATGAGCACGGTGTTGTGATCTGCCTGCACCTCCAGCACAGTGCCCTGCATCCAGACCACAGACACCGCTAAGCAGCGCTGTTCAGCGGGGCCCAGGCGCATGATAACGTACTCTGCTCTCCCGCTTGCTGTCTGACACTCTCGGCCCTCACGCAGCTGGCTGGACAACACTTTCACTGGAGGACTGCGAGCTCTGTCTGCGCTCAGAAAGCTGCTTCCCATCATCTTCAGTGCTGTTGCTGCTGCTGCTTCGCAACGCGCTATGTTCCCTCTCATAGGTTCACTTCAATGCTGCGATGACGTCATCGCTATGGGAACACCTCCGGTGTGACGAATGTCTGAAGCCCTTATACCATCACGCCAATTTATTGGACAATAGCGTTTAGCACCGCCCCGAGCATATGTCACCTATGCTCATATATGCGTGCTATTTCATCAGATTTTAATTCCTTCAGGAAGCGAATTATCTGTTGCCCATCGGAAAGAGATTCTTGTGTTCTAAGCCATCTATTTATATAGAGCAGTTTACTCCTCTAAGGCGGACACAATGAGTTTTCCGGTATGTATGGATGTTACACGGACTCATGAGGAAACAGGTAGGAAGACCGCTTTTGCGGCCTTTATCTATTGTTGTATCCAATCTGTGTTTGTGAGTAAGTTGCGCTCTGGGCTCGCTCTCTTTCTGAGGAAGGAGAGATGTTCG